TTTTTTGTTTTTTTGGTTTCTTTAGTTTAAAGTCTAATAAGAATCTTTTTACAGGGCGAACGGTTAACTGGAACGGTGCCGCAATTGCACTTTATTTAATTAAATCAGCTTATTTACTGATGAGCGCATGGCATTTAAGAAATGGTTTTCCGTCAGTATTAAATAGAGATATCCTTACGCGGCATTACGGACTCGCTCGCTTGCTGATCTTAAAAATGTATTATTACAAAATTTTTAAAGTAGTAATTTGCATTTAACAAATTCAGTGGCTTCTTCGCTTGATCATGGCACCTTTTCATTGTAAAGTAGCCATTTATGAGTATGGGCTTAAGGAGTGCCCATTTCTCCTTCAAAAAGTATTATTAAGTGCGTAATTTTGAGTTTTTGGGTGCACTTGAAGTAGACGTTTAAATTTTGGTTTCTAGTTACCTAAATGTTCCCTTTCTGTTGGAACTGCGTACAGTAATGGACTGGACGTTTACATCTACTTCTTTAACTGTTGGGGATTTTATCCGTTTAGAAAATTACTACAATGAGTTTTTGGCACAAAACTGTTGGATACGCTTTGATCACTGGATTGATACGGTTGGTAATCTTTGGAAATGGCGACCGTTCAAAATTAAAATTGACTCTTTTTATCCAGAAACAAGTATTTTGCATTTTCATTAACCGAATTTTTGAGAAGTACATCTGAATTCTTTTACTAAATGCAAACATTCCAGTACTTTCCTACTCGAAAGGGTCGTGCAACTCCAACCCCCGGGAAGTTTTTCAAAGGTGTTACTTCTATAATTGCGCTGATTACAGTCATTCTAGCACCAATGTTTTTATTTGCTTTTCTTAATAGCTTCGGAACTCGAGCTCCTCCAAAATGCCTCAAACTTTCAGTTGCAGTTGGCGGATATCCAGTGAGTTCTCGTTTCTGTGTTATTTTTTATTTTTTATTATTTCGCAACTATAAGTCCGGCATTAATAGACTTTATACGAAATGCACGCGACTGGCGTTAATTTGTATAGTATCTCTACGTCTGAGCTAAATGGACTGAACGAGGAAATTGCCAAACGGAAAGATAACGAAACGTTCCGCAGTGCTTACGCATTTCTGTCTGTTTTTTCGAACGCTGATGTTTTTCGTGTTTTTCTGGAACCGTATTCTTTACACTCGTGGCAGATTTCGTCGTTTACTAAACAACGCTTAGTCAGACAACTGCAGCGGAAAGAGGTATTTTTCAAAGATATAATAAGCATTATTGGAAGAAGATTTTATTTTTTTATTTCTGTTTCACGCTGCTTGCTGGTTTCAGTAACTTTTTTCCCCATTTCTTCTAGGAGTTGAGGGCAAGGGGTTGTATTTAACCAGAAAAGTGGTAGGTTGAAGAAACGGCTAGTTTACTTCAGATGGCACAGTCTGAAGGAGGAAGAGAGAAAGTTTCTTGATACACAAAGGGTTATTGATTGTTAGAAAGATTTAAAGGGAATTTAGTTTGCGATCTGAACTCAACAGAAGGTTTTCTAAATTGATTTTCTTGTGAGAGATGTGTATTAATTTTCTGCTCTCTTATAATTCTCCTTGTTTTTTTCAATGTTAACTTTTGCTCAGTAGCAACCTTTGTATTGAACAAACTATTCATTATTGTCTGTTACTTGAGTAGATCGTGGCTTTATTTCAGTCCGTAGTTATTTAGCAAGGTTAGAACTGCAGGAATTAATACGTAGGCGTCGGTGTGGCTTCAGTTTAGGAGTTCTACTGGCATAAAATTCAGGGATTTGGAGGTCGAGAAATTCCCTTCAAAACTTTTTACATTTTTTAAATCACAAGATATCTTCCCACAAATTAAGGTTTTTCAACGTTCTATAGTCGTAAAAGCCATCAAGGGGAAGATTGAAAAAGCAGACTAATTGCGACAAGATTTCGTGTCTTAGTTCTTCATTATATTTTTCATAATGTTCAAAACGTCTAGTTTGTCAATACTGTTTCAAAACCGGTAACTTCTCTTTTTCCCTCTCCTTCCTCAATCCTCTGACGCAGCTTTTTTAATATCTTCTTTTATTTTTTCTAGCCCTGAATAGTATTATTATGCAACAGTGTCGTCATGGATTTTTTGAAATTCTGTGTAAATTACTCCACAAATGTTCCAGCAAATAGCAATAACTACATCGGCAGGTAAAAGCAGCCCAATTTCGAAACATTAAAGAAGTTTTCTCCAGCTCTAGATATTCATTTTTTGTCACTGTTTAGTTTATTAGGTATCCTCCCTTTATTCTAACTCGTTTCTATTTGCAAAAATATAAGTTCGGCAGCGAATGGAGTAAAAAAGTCCATGCGTTATTTCCAATGGTCGTTATAGTCAGTGAAGGGACTGGAACGGTACAGTTAAAGGGAAAAAAAGGAAATCACGCTGTTAAAGGAAATATGATTAGCAAAGGTTTCGTGGGAGAAGGCAATCTTAGAAAATAACTCTTTATTTCAATTGTGTAATTGCGATTGGGTGCCATTGAAGTCCATTTGGTTCACTGGACAGTTGCTGCGATACACTTAACAAATGGCTTGAAAATAAACCTTCTTGTTAGCCACTTATACTTACTGGAGATCCATGATTAAAGCGACGACGAAGAAACAATTTCTCCTTTAACGACTTACTTGGTACTGATTACTAGCTTATGCTGAAAAGGTTTTAAAATTTTTTTATAAGAAGCTGCTTCTTTCACAGCTTTGAGCTTCGCTACTTTAAAATGCTGATTGTCCAGTTGACATTTTAGTGAATTTCAGTAAATGTCGATTGAACAACCACCAGTTATGACAGTGCAAGAGAGCGATACTTTTAAAAAAAGCTTTTTCAGGACCTGGAGGAACGGAGCCCACGGGTTCACTGCTGTAAAAGAAGAAAGAGTTTTTTCAAAGAAAACTTTAATTTTCTTTGGTCTTAGCTAGTGGTCAGCACAATGAGCGTTGTTTGTGTAGAGAATGTTTCTTTGTTGTTGCTTTGATCATGCGTTTTCAATGGGTATAAGTGACTGATAGGAAGACTTATTTTTACGCCATTTGCCAGTCGTATCGTAGCAACTGTTCGGTGAACCGACTGCAGTTCAGTAGCATAAAATTGCAGCTAAACTTGAAAAGTAAGAGAAGATAATTATTTCTCGACTTTTTTTGTTCTGCTTTTGTTAATCACATTTTTTAACGGAATGTTTTCTTCTTTTTGCAATTATACTCTTCCAGTTCCTTCGCTGGCTGTATCTGTCGCTGAAGATAACGCTTGGATTTTTTAACTCTATTTGCAGGCAGTCTTTTTGAAATTAATCTCAGCTACTTTCAAACTTTGGCTGTCAAAGTGAAACTGGTTCGCAAGAGGATGCTCGTTGGCTAATGATTGGTCCTTGTTTGCAGTCTTTGCAAAATGAATTCGCTAAGGATTTGTGTTTTCGCTTTCAAACTGAGGTTATAATAACAAAACTAAAAGTGAGAAACGAACAGTTACAAACAGCTTTAATCAAACGGAACACTGGATAATGGACTCCTCATCAGTATGCTACAGGCTATCAAGCGTCAAACGCCTCTTGCGTTAAAACGTTCAAAAATGAATTCTTCAGTTTCTTGTGGTTTACAAATCAATTTAATAATGTCTTGAATTCCTTATCGAAATATTAGTTTTGGTGTTAGAATTTGGAGGTGAGGAGAATTGCCTACTTTGAAGTAGGACTTTTTTTTAATTTTATGTTTAAGCATTTTTACTATCTTTCTTTTGCAGCTCCCCATTTTATGAGGAGAATCTTACGCTTTGGGTACCTAAATTTGCGAAAAAATAAGCGTTTGGTCTTGGCGAAGAAATTTGTCTGTCAGAAAATTTGGTCTTCTAAGTCAATGCCTTAGAGTATCATTTGTTTGAGGAGGGCTAAGTTCTCTTTCTTTTTTTAGCAAGGAAATATTTTCTGTGCACAACTATTTTCCTTTATCTTTCTACATTTCGTGAGATAGCACTGCTACAGAGATAAATTTTCTTGCATCAAGAATTATGGTGTCGTGAAAAATTGCATATATTCCTAAGTAATTACAAGTAATGCGTTTTACGAAGTTCAAGATTTTAACCCCTGAAACAGCCAGAAAACAAATTCGAGATTTGGGTTTTTGCCTCGAGAAAATTGGGTTTCAACAAATTAAAAAAAGAAAAGGTGGAGAAAGTAATTGGTAAAGATGAAAATACAAAATATTGGGACGCTTTTTGCTTTCTTCTCTATTTTCTTGCACTTCAAATTGAAGAAGAGGTGGGTATATGATAAAACTTCCGAAAAATGCCAATTTTTTTATTAGTCGTTTTATTTATGCATCATACAATTGTAACTGTGCGTCACCGTATTACAGCAGTTATCTTTCATCTTTCAAATATCAGTGGAACGGGAGTATGGAGATGCGCAAAAAACACACAGTTACACAAAAGCATCTAAAATGGGACCTTCTGAAATTTACTCTGTTCTTGGGATGATAAATGATTCCGCGAGGGGAAGCAGCATGGTTCTGGAATTACCCAGGTTTTTTCTTGTTCCACCGGCTGGTTACTTGACTCCCGCTGGTCTCGTGAATTCAGCACTGAATGCAACATTTATGAATAGTACCTGGAAGTATGAAGCGGGCTGTTGGTGGATGAAGTAGGGTTTGCTGTTCTAGTATTTCTACTTTTTGCAAGAATAAACAACAGACTTCTGTTTATTTGCTGGATAAAAGTGTTTTGCTGAGTAATTGTATTTAGACTTGAGCAACCAATCATTTTGTTTGTCGACCGTGTCATACCTGCATGGATAAGTTGGATTGCTGGTTCGAGAAGTATAGTTGCTATGTATGTGGCTGTGATTTTTTTTATCGGGAAACTCATTCGGGACATGGTTAAAACACCTTTATCTAATACAATGGTTCGAATTTTTTGTTATTATTTTTGAGTTAACTTGTAGTTTTTGAATTATAGGTTTCTGTAACGATGAAAGATTTGTTTGTCGTAAAAACCTTTTGTTTTTTGCTTATTGCCG